ATAATATTTGTGTAGAAACTAAATTTTTTTTCCGAAGAGTGAGAGAGTCTGTAGTTTACGCGAATAGTACACATTTAATTAAAGTATTTTTAACAGTTTAAAACTTGAAATGTATTAGATAAACTTATAATAATTTATTTTAACTACAGCCCGACATTTCTGATGCTTTGTGGCAGCCATGATCACGGGGGACGGAACATCGGTAGTTAAAAAAAATGTAAATAAGTTTTACTAATACATTTTGCGTTTTAAACCGTTAAAAGTTTTTTATTTAAAAATAATCTTTAAATTCGACACCGATTAGGTTAATCATTTATTTTGAAATAATTGAAAAGTTCCTCTAAATTGAAGGAATTTAAAAATATAATAAAATCTAGGACCAATAAATTGTGTAAGGCTTTAACAGCCATCGTTCAGCATATCATTGTTTTTCGGGCTATTCGGCCGACGTGAGCGTGAGAAAACATTTCGTCTCGACGTTTTGATCAAGAAATAATTAATTCTTCGAACAATTGAGGAGCTAACAACATTTCCTGATGCCATCGATGCGAAACGTCAAGAACCTCTCGCTGACGTCGGCCGAACAGCCCGAATAACAATGATAAAATCTAGAACTACCTTATCTTCAATTTTTCGCAATTACAATCTTAAAATTCTAACAACGACGCGTAATTTTGCGGCAACGTAAATATAGTCTACGAAACGTGGAGATGTTCTCTGAGTGACATTAGCGTCACCTCCCTATGTATCTACTTGGCTGGGCAATAAAATTTTATTAGCACGTTTAGTGTCTACTGAAACATAAAAACCATCGCGACTGCCGTATATATGCCGTTAAGTTGTATAATGTTCTTTAAGGGCGAAGATATTTCATACAAGATATAAAAGCAAAAAGTCTATGTAACCATTACCGAAATATACCTATGAAATTATATTTATAATCCTTTCTATATGGGGTCGTGGAGTATGGGGCAGATATATTGTCAAAAGTCAAGTCAAAAGTCAAAAATCATTTATTCATGTAGGCAACTATGTACACTTATGAACGTCACAAAATAATTAAAGAATCTAACTTTACATTTACTACCAGTTCTCTGATCAAGGACGTAGAACAAACGAGAAGAACTGGCAATAAACTCGCCGTCACTCCTTTTATCGCCAATTTTCATTTTACATTTTTGATTTACTTTTAGTGCACTACATATTTTTCCTTGCAAGAGCGGGTTCCTCCACACCCCGAGCATTTTTATCATTTAAATATTGATTAACGTGATAATAACTCTTTTCAAGCAGTTTTTGTTTTACATACGGTTTAAACCTATTTATTGTGAGAGTGCTTGCACTTCGCTGGGGATTTTATTAAAGTATCGTACCTTGAAAAGAACTACTACTTTTCTGGAGCCTTTTGTTTGGTACACTTATTTTGCTGGGTCTATTGGTAATAGATATTATCAGACACAACTTTTACACTACTTAGATGGTAGGTGACTACCCAAGCCATATAAGATCTAAACAAGTTGATTTATTTTGGCTTTGGATATTTGAAAATCCACAGACTGGAACCGAATGAAGCGGTATTCGTTACCAGCTAATTTGATATCGGTTTGAACCGGTATTCCTACCTTTCTTTTAATATTGAGATTTTAAGAGGAATTCTAACATATTTCAGAACCCACGTCCCGTTTACTATTAGCCATACATTGTTGTATATATACAACTTCATGTGCCCTGGTCGGCGTAACCATCTATTGTGTCTCTCGGATTCAAAAGAGACCTGAGTTCGAAACACTTTGCGTTGTGACTCAATACAAAGTAAGGTAAAGTTATTTATATAGATAATTTATTCAATACGAAATATCTTAAATATTGCGTTTTAGATCTTTACGTTATAGAGCAGCGATATAGTTTACAGATTACAATTCGTAGCTTCGTTCCGACGGTCGATTATAGAGGTCTGACATACTGCCCTGTAAATGTTTTCAGCCATTGATACAAAATAATAAAACAATTCAACGCTTTAAAACGTGAAATACTTATATTAGTTAAACGTATTTTAATTATTTTATGTCCGACCCGACGTTTCGGATGCTTTGCCTCGGTTTCGGAGAAACTAACGTTCACGGTTTAAACCGTTTTAATGAATTGTGTACTACTCGCGTAAACTATCGACAGTATTAAAAAAATGTTATCCAAATTAGAGATAGAATTTCATCTTTAGTTCAAATAGATGCTGATCACCGGATTAACTAAACGTAAGAAGTGCGAATGTAAAGAAAGAGAAAAACAAAAAATTGCGAATTCAGGACACGTCCGCTCGACCCCGGATCCGCAGTTAAATGGGGATTAGGGGCCGAGTGGCCAATAACAAGGCATTACGCGCGATCTGCTCCATCCTGGACAAGATACACTATAATGCTTTGTTACCCGACTCCGCTGGAGACGGAGAAAGGGTAATGATTTTGTGTCGAAAGTGAGATTAAAATTTAATAGCTCAAACTGCAATATTAGCTGAAACGCAGTTTTAAATAATGTGTTTCAGAAATAACATTTCAGTTTTCAAGCAAGATGGTTTTCTTTATAAAAGTACATTTTATATGTTCGTCATTATTATATTTTCTTTATTAATACAATTAAAACGGGCGAAGCCAATTGAATACCTAATGTAATAGTCTTTTTTTGTTTTAATAATTTATTTATTGTTTATTTTCTCACAATCTCGAGTGGATGACGTCATCAGGTAATGTTGCGCACTAAGCGAAGTCTTCGTTAAGTCGAAGAAAAGGTTAGATGTCGGCATCAAATTCTTGGTAAAACGTCTTCCGCGTCACACTTTACGTGCTTACTTTTACATATCAAAATTAAGAGTTAGGTCATCAATAAATCATAGTCAAAGCGAAATGAGAAAGCCAGTGAGATGGCAAATTCAATCAAACCGCAACGAAAGTACGGCGTCATCCGAACAATTTCTACGATTGGAAACAGTTTTACAAGCAATAAATTTGTGCAACCCGCGCCGGTACAACATTTATTAGCTACAATCCAGATTAGATTAGCGTTGCATCCCTACAGTCCGGGGGCCCTCGGGACACGGAGTTTGTCCCAGTAATGCGGCCACGCGCCGAACTAATTCGTTGTCATCCGACCCTTCCTGTGACTCGAATGACGCCTCAGCACTGTTTCATTTTAATTGAATAGTTGGAGTGGGGTGTCGCCGTTGTTTTACTACAGATAGCTTTATAGTCGCTTTGCATAATTGCGGGTCGTGAGTCTCTAATTTGTTACAATTTCGCAATCTGTCACGCTTTGTTTGCTGTCATAAATATACTGAGTCTTTCAAAGGGTTTAAGCGTGGAAAAGATATTGTCTGTAGTTTACGCGAGTAGTAGGTACACATTTAAATAATACACTAAAACTGTTGCAGCAAGGCATCTGTAACGTCGGGCCTTAGTTAAAATAATTTTCAAATACGTAAGTTTAGCTAAAGTATATCACGTTTTAAACCGTTAAAGTGTTTTCTTTAATCGTGAAAAAGATGTCTTATTTAGAATTAAGTGCATTATTACTTATTTACAAACATCGCAGTATCACATTTGAGCCCAATCTATTGCTTATATATAGCTATATTGTAGCCATGATTTAAATGAGAAAGATTAGTTATTTGGGGCAAAACATCAAAACGAAACTCGTATTTATACTTTAATCTATTTCAACGTTGATTTCTGACATGAACTTTTCACATTTTCCGGCCACATAGAATCACACACAATAAAGCGAAGAAATCTCTAAATTTTGTCTGCAGGCCAATATACTAACCGTTTTCGAAAATCAAAATATCCAGAGAATTTGCTGTCATTCAAAAGCAACCACTGATCAGAATAAGTACCGCCATCTAGCGTCGACGAATGGTATCCACAACCAGTTTAGATTCTCGTGAATAGAACCTTTGCGTTACTTACCTAATGGCTTAAATATATCTAAACATATAACATGTTTTTTGTATGGACTGAACTGAATATTTCGTTCTTACTTTTAGGAATGATACTTTTTTAAGTGCTTGGTGTCAGCCTTCACAAATAAACATTCTTTTGAGTTTTTGAGTTATATCCATACTTTGTAGATATGCAAGATCCCATCGCGTTTAACATGTTCGTCCAATATAGACATTTTGGGGTTAGAAACAGATTTGGCACAAGAAAAAGGCAAAATTATGTTAACAAACATTTAATTTTAAATTTCATTAATATATTATTTATAATAACTATTTTATCTACCATGTCCCTACGTACGAACGTTTCACCAGTGTTTATGCAGGTAAAGCGTTAACATATTATCATCATACTGTATTTTAAATAATACGTACGAATGCTTACATTTAAAACGTCTAAATTATCTAACACCTAAACTATATTTATTTGTTGTATTGCACATATCACTTAAACATTTGTAGTATTTGCCAGGAATACTAAAGAAAACCAAACTAACAGGGTCCGTAGCCAAGATAACACAATTTACATGATACATAAAATCGATTTTATTCTTTTGAACATCGTTTTGTAATTCTTAACTTGGTTACGGCCTAGCTCATTGTTTTTATTACGTTAATTACATCAGCTTACTGATATCGAATTACGAAAAAATATTTCTACGAAAAATTACTAGGAACATAATATGTTATTACAGCAACAATAATTACAGTCTTAAATAACATTTAAATATTACTATGTTACAATATATTACAAAGGTGCTTATTATCAATGTGACACAGTCGACATCTATCCTTTATTTAAAAAGTTACATTTAGTTGTACATAAACCTGCGTACAACCACTAAAACGCAATCTAAAGTGTATTTTGAACTATTTATCAAAGCATACAACATGTCAATCATTCTAGCTATTCTTTTTATCAATCATCTAAGTGTATTGTAATAATTTATTCTCATTAAAAATACATTTTCTTTTACTATTGCGTAGCAACCCTTTCTGCGTTCGGATCGATGGTTTAGGTCGGGCTGTGCGGTGGATGTGGTGTGTGCGGCGTATGCGGGGGGTGTGGTGGTATCGGATGAGGGCTTTGGTCCCTCAATGAATCCGGAGAGGAACCAGGAGACGACCTCCGCGGGGGATACGGCGAGAAACGATGCTGAGATAGCGGGGCTGGAACTCCGCCAGGATACACTGGTCGAGGCAGTTGCAGTCCGGATCCTGATGCTAAATGTTGTTGGGCTAGAAGTTGTGGCGCCAAACAAGCCCATTGGCCCCATAAAGCGGCTGCAGGTACTCCATACAGGGGATACGCCGCTCTTAGGAACAACTGTGATCTCGCAGCCAAAATTGCCTTCTCTTCCAGAGTTAGATTATTATTGTGCTGATCCAGGTCGAACGGCCGCAGAGGCGATCTCAAATAATGTTGCTCCGCCAACATCGATTCCATGGTCTCCCTGAAAACAGACTCAGCTTTAGTCTCATGTTTTCTGGTGTAAAATTTCACGGCAGAAGCGAGTGGGTAAAATTTAAAGTATCTACCTATAGTTTGAAGCGCCGAAACGCGCATCGTCAGAGAATGTCGGTGGTCTTTCGTGCTCTCCGGTGATATAGAATCTCAAAGAAAAAATAAAAGAAATAAAATGCATGTTATGTACTTATATGTAGGGTGGGGAGAAACTGAGAGAGATGAATTACGCAGTTCTAGAAACGAGAAGTTATCAGCTAAATTACAAGGTATCTGTCTCCATCGTCGCATACATTTGCATCTAATTGAAGTAAGATATTGTCGTAATTGCAGACGTAGAGACATCGATCAGTGTCGCTGCATTTGTTTCAGAGAGCGTGGCCAATGAGATCGACGAAGTAAAAGCAATTCTAGGATTACTTAATGAAACACGATAGGTTATTTAATATAAAATATTTCGCATAATAAAAAGTACCACGCGGGTGAGTTTCAATACAACGTTGTTAATTACGCCTAAGACCATATTAGCATTATAAAGAGCAACAGGAATTGACTAATGTTTTATGAGATACAAAAGCATGGAGTTGGTATTTACCTTTCAAATTCCGTGAGACGGGAAGAGTCCCGGAATCCCTTTGCGAATGGATTGCTGTCGATTTTTAGCTTCGTGATCTGTAACAAGGATAGAATTGGTTTTAGTCACTATAACAGAAATAGACATTATAAGCTATAGTTTTTGTATTTTAGTGTAAAAAGAAACCGATTTTACAGACGGGATTCGAACGCACGATCAGAGCGTATTTTTCGGTTTCTCTGTCAACTGACCCGCATCGAAACTTTAAATTCTCGCGTGAATGCACCTCTGGCATTGTACCAACGTTACACTGTTAGTCGTTGCTGCGAGTTTCATTTGTTTTTAAGAGGATGCTCATAAAAAAGCTCTTATTGACCGTCATCGTACAATAATAAAGGTACTAAAACACACTTTGATAGGTTTAAACTCGAATAATATATATTATTTATCTAAAACTAAGACTATTAATATCGATCTGTGTTACGTGGTATACAGGATTAAAACTTCACACATTCATATATTGACTATCTAATAAATTTATTTAAAACGGCATTTAAACAATTGTATTACGTTTGTGTTTATATTTAGAAAAACGTTCCCGTTTTAAATAAGAACTATACAATACTGTCTTTAGTTTACGCGAGTAGTACACATTTAAATAAAACACTTTAACGGTTTAAAACGCGATAAATTAGTTAACCTTATTTGAAAATGATTTTTAACTTCGTGACCACGGCTGCTGCAAAGCATCCGAAACGTCGGGCCGAAGTTTTAAACCGTTAAAGTGTTTTATTTAAAAATAACTTTATTATTGATTGATTTTGTACTTGTTTCTGTAGTGTGGTATACCACGAAAGGATGCGGACTCTGCATTAAAATAAGCCGATGGACTCATAAAGTATTTTGTTTGATTTAAATAGAGACCGAGGTGTTAAAAATGTGTTTGGCGTTGCACAAGGAACACGATGAGAAATTGCCCCCTCGCTGCGTTGCGCTCCCGCTGCGGTCCGCGCAAATTGTGAATAATATTTACGATTTACGACAAATATCCACAAACCCGGAGCTATTCGGGTCTTATATCACCAATAGAGTGTGTATGATGCTATATTCTAGTACTAACTTTGTTGTTTATGTTGCTGTTAGACCCTCAAGAATGGCATCTTTGCATGTTGACTGTAAGTCGATTGATCGAAGATTATTTATACATGTAGATTTCAATACGTCAATTTTAAGCCAATTCACCTTCAAATATAAACATCGTTATATTGCATATGTTGTAGCTTAGATGACTAGGTATATACTAAAAAAGTGTTTTTTATTATTATTACTTATAAAAAGGAAAGAACGAGAAACATTTTTTTTCTGTCTCTCATATACACGCTCCAAAATCTGAAGTAATCATCTTACGGTTTTCAATTGATTGACATTTAAATTGATCGAAAAAGTAACCGACTTTGAATATTTTGTATCTGTCACTGTCACTGTCAAAAATGACGGCGAAAATAATAAGAACAGATTAAAAATGGCGAAAGGATTGACATTTCGGATATTTCTTTTTCTAAATCGAAGTACCGGATGTCGCGGTCGAAAATTAGAAAGACATTAAACGAATCAGATCAAAGGAGCTATTTCTAACGGTGCTAAAACATGCAAGATAGTTTAATTATCTTAAGTTGGATCCAATTGGCATAGTAAACATCGGCGTAATGTGTTCGCAATAAACAAGTCATCGAGCCACCGTCTCGTGTGTGTCAATCTTTCAGCAGCTTCCACACTGACCGACGGTGACGCGCCAGTAATTATCTGTCGAGTGATGCGCCAAGTCTGCCCGGTTAAGCTATTTACCGATTTCCTAATTCTATAAAACATCACTATTCTATGCGTGGAACACCCGCCTCCGTAGATCAATGGTCGAACGCTTAATACACGCGAGATGTTCTTGCGGAGGTGGCGAAAACTTCTAAAAAAATCGACTACTTAAAAATAATCATTGGTACGGATGGGTCACTGAAATAGAATATAGGATATTGTCTGTAGTTTTGTGCGAGTAGTGCATAAGTACGTTTAAATAAAACGGTTTAAAACGCGAAATATAATATATACATGTTCAAGATTCGACCTCCGAAACATCGACCTATTTTGGCTTTTGGATATTCGGAAATCCACAGACTGAAACCGACCGCGATTACACTTCACGGCTTTTCATCTCTGGATATATAAGTAACTTAGTAGGTGTTTTTTAACGCAATTTTTCTAAGTGGAATTTTAAGGACAATGATCTTTTTCAATTCGGATTTTTATCTTTTCGTTTGTTTTCTACGAAAATGATACTTTAAATTACTATTTCTTTAAATGCATTTTTGTCTGTTTGATGCGCTCAAAAGCGGCAATACGTCTGAGTAAATGTCGCATTGTGTAAATTGTTACGGATCAAAGGAAATAAACCTTTTAAATTGTGAACCATCCGCGTCAAGAGCCGCCGTTGTGGCTACAGAAAAAAATATTTTGGGTTTTACCGCTGTTCAGAACCGTTACGCCTCGACTGAAGGTTGTAAGGCTTGTCAGAATGTGAATGAATGCTTTGTCATGAAGGTACAATGAGAATACGATTGTCCGAACACGTCGTTCAAATTGGGAAGCAGAAGATGTCGAGGGTCACGAGCTACTTACACTTGCACACCCACCTTGCGCACGATTGACTACAATGGCCGTTCCTTCGCGCCTTTCCGTGACATAATGAGTGCGTGTTGCTTGTACAACATAGTAGCCAGGTATTGTGTGCCAAGATTGTTTGACTAACTTTCGATCATGAATAGTTTTGTATTATCTAGCTTTTTATTAATACAGGCAACTTTTCCTCTTACCAATATCTATTCCAGCCATGAAATACCATTTCGTTTTTTTTTCTTCTTCTTCTTATTACTAATTTAATTACTCGAATTTATTTTTTAAATCACATTAACATGGGTCGACATAGCATCGTTTTTCTATATGACAATATGGCTGAGTAATTTCACCCCCCTCCCCCATCAACAAGTTAAACTTGCCTGTCCAGCTCGTCATAATTTTTTTTCTGCTCAAATAATTTCACAGAAGCCTACGTATCTTACTTTGTCTGATTACATCTAAAGGCTGACGAACCGCTTCTAAGAATACATTTTTGACATTCACCAAAGTGTAACAACTAAATATATTGATCGGATATCAATAGAAAGCGATTAAACAAATAACAAGCTCGGAGCAGGAACAAACGCAGTAATGAATGGATCGCTTCCCCGCGCCAGACGTTTATTAGATTTAGTACAAACATAAGACGAGGCGTGTCAAAACAACCTAATTTAAGTATCAACAAACGGTCGCCTTGGGCGGCGCGGCGTTCTCCTCAGTGACAACATTAAAGGCGCCTAATGACATTATTCTCGCGCGGGAAACAAAAAATCCATAAAAACTCGAAAAGTGGGAAACTCTGACGCCGCGCATGTGCGCTTTGAATATTTTGTTCTGACATTATGCAAAACTGCGTAATGCGTTGCACTTACCATATCGAGACATATGATAAAAAGGGAAAAAATATTATCTTCAGAAAGTTAAATGTTATTAAGTCTTAATGCATGGAGCAGACATACCTATTCATGTGTCTGCTCCATGATTTCTGATATTGTTTTATCTACACAGACTAGGAGATTGTATTTTAAGCCCTGCCGGACATTAAATCCTTTTTTACATTCCAATATTCAAATCTCTAAGTACCTCTTTACGTAATGCAACATTTATCAATAGAAATCCATGGAGACGGTCAAAAAAAAAGATTAGAATGTAAATATAATAATATGAATATACATAGCACATTCTAACTTGTGAAATGAAAAAAGAAATGTTTGTCAGCTGTCGTGTAAACACGGAATGCGGTGAGCGTTATAAAACGGGAATATTCTGAGGAATAAATAAATGTCACAGCCCTACGCCATTGACTGATACAGAGCCGTGATGAACGATGCACATATCTATAGCCACGTTAATTTGTGGCTCCTTACCGGGTAATATATTGGTCCTCGGAGGAATAAAACATTCGTCTTCTAAACTTATACCAATTAACGCACTTTTAACTAATGCCAATTGTATCAAAATTCGGATTTAGGATTGCTTGTAAATTAATGATTGTTTGACGTTTTTTTTGACAAAGCAAAAGTTCTTCTCGTATTACTCTCAATATTTTACTGGTACAATTTCTAATAATCAGACAATTAATATTAAATTGTCTGTAAAACGGGACATGGTATAAGGCGAGAACAATAAATTTTAAATGGCCAACAGATGTGGGAGTTGTAAACGGCATTTTCGAGAAAGGCAATGCTTTATTATTTCGCAAGTGTACTTAGGAGTTATGTGGCATTGATAGCTCAGAGAATTCATGTTTAAAATAATAACTCCTTCATACAAATAATATGAATAAAATCAATAATTCTGCTACTTTTTAGATAGTAATGGACAAATAGGTATGTAATTACTGTTCTTTGCTAACCTAAACGTACCCCTGACCATTTTATGCTTTCTCCATAACCACGACTTTAAAAAAGATATATCCCGTTTCCCCCGTGGAGCTTGGGGCTAAAACATTTTTGTGTCCCTTTCTCTGATCGATTCTTTTACAGGCTCTACTACGGCGTAGATTCGACTTCTGTGCCTGACCGAATTAATGTATTATTTCCACAAGATTCAAACCTAGGACCCACTAGCTTAATACAATGCTAGGCAAGACATTTTACTATTTAAATAAAACGGTCGTGGCGTAGTCATGACAGTAATAAGAATTTTACTATGTAGAAATACGTTTAATGACAACATGTGAATGTAAGAACATAATTATTTACAGAACCTTTTGTTAATGCTCGTCACCAAAAAACAAAGTCGGAAGTCAAATTCCTTCCTCGTCGTCCAGCAACTCGAGAAGCTGCAAGCTTTCACGCACTGATCCAATCGAAATAATGAAGGATATGTAATGTAAGTCGTATAAGCTCTCAGCTATTTCTGCGGCTACCTTTATCAAAATTCTACCAACCCACATGACGACCAATGATTTTGAAAAATATCCTGGGTGATTCGGGTTTTCATATGCTATTGATGTTAGATTCTTCTTCACAGAGTCGAAGAAATAAATCCTTTATAGGACCTACGGTAAGAATAAAATCAACTTTGTACTCATGTCCACAATTGTTGTTGAACACTCTGAATATTATGGAGTAGGCGATGTGCCACATTTCCAATAGTCCTGATTCCTAAAGTGTTTGTAAGTTAATATTAAAATATATGTATTTTGCACAGAAATGTCAGCTGTCAAATTGACAGCATTATGAGTGATCTATTTTTTATATGTCAAAAATTATTTATTGTCTATACTAATATTACAAAGCTAAACAATTTGTTTTTTTTTTTGATAGCCCTAATCTGGAGGTTTTAGGCTATATACATTTTTGAGTGTTTCGGTTAAGATAGAAGATTAAGATAGCAAAAACATATGTATAAGAGAATTATTTCTGATTAAATAATTTAAAAAAATGTCTGCTACAGTATATTACTAATTATAATATAAGATTAACTCACAATAACCGGTTTTATGGTAATGTAGTATTCGTCAAAATACTTAATATGGCAATATAAAGCTTGTCAGGTGAGGTAGTGACAAATATGACTTACTGATTCTCTCTATTTCATGTTTTATATATTTTTGAGTCACACGTTTATTAGTCCAAACCTCTCAAAAAATTTCTAAGCAACTGTTTGAAAATATTTAAATATAATTAAAACTAAGTAAGGCAGACGATAAATGTAAGTCTTCTGCGGTGGCTGGGTGCGCAAACGCAATAAATTCAAGACGGCCGCACACGACGGCTCTGCGTGACGTCACACCTCGTGTGATCGATGGCAAGTAAGAAAGAGATCAAGATTTTCCACTTCCCAGTCTAACTGATAGCATGAGTTTGAAAGAGATGGAATATCAATAAATAATTGTGCGTTAGATTATTTTAAATCCAGCTATAAGCCGATACATTGACTTCTTGAATTTACTATTGATTGAATACGATATATTATCTGTTAAGATTGAAAAAATCGGTCTTCTACGGTTTTACCCACGTTATATGAAAAAATTTATGATTTGTAATAAAATAAAGTTGAGAGGCAAACGGATATACCGGATGTTGATTAACGAAAATATAACTATTCTAATTGTAATAATTATCCGAATTATTATTATTATGATAAACTGGAATATCCGCCAGGAAATGCAAATTTTAACGACATATTAAAATACACTGACAGCGTTAGGGCGTTGGGTTCGTCAGTGTATTTGTCATCTAAGCTTATTATAATCTTATAGACGTAATACGTTGACAAATATAAAAGTATCACATTCATAAGAATGAATCGATTATTTGAAGAAAAGATATGTGCGGGGGTGAGGCGAGAGGGCCGCGGGCGGGAGGGACACCTCATGACACCTGACCGCAGCCATTTTGGCCCATGAAATATGTTTATTTGTCATGGCTCCCTTTTGTTATTGAAATTGTGTTTGCCTTTACTCCTTCTTTATATTGTTCGATTGTGTCTGAGTGAAACTCGTTTGTAGAGGCTCAATGCGAGAATAGCTTCGGATTCGATTTTAGAATATTGATTATTGTCACTGCGGTGTATAAATTTCAATTAAGTGGCCAGTTTGTGGTAACACAGATAAGAAATTATTTTTTACTAATATAGTTTAATTCTGTTTAATCTGTGCATAAATTGTTAAAAATAACTTAATAAGTCCTCGCATCGCTCTTTTAAAGACCATTGATAATATTTTGGAATGTATCTGCAAACAAATATTGACAATAGAACAAAATGAGGATAAATATGTTTGTATGTTCCCAATCCATCACGGCAGGTTGCCATCCGCGAGATCCTCGACGGAACAATCAATCATAACAAATTCACAAGTCATCGACTGTTGAAAAAAGTGCATTGTGTATGAGAATGCGTAAAGTCTAACAAACATTGTCACCTCCTCCGAGTCGAATTCCAGACAAAGGATTGTTCACAAAACAGTGTTGTGGCCTTGTGGGTGGATAACGTTGGCCGGAGCAGGTTCACCGTTCTCCCGGGAAACCTCCCCGCGGCGCGGCGACGCATCGTCTCACGACGAAGCACACAAAAAGCACAATTCATATTTTTTAGTCAACAATTTTTATCTTGTCTTAAATCAACGTCCAGGAATGATAAAGCACCAATAATGATGTTTCATTTTATATCGATACTTAAATCCACTATAAACTTAGTGACAGATTTTATGATGTTTTTCATGTAAAAAGTCTAACCAAGATTACTAGCCCTAAATATTTAACGGTTCAGAATTAAAAGCAGATAAAATAAAATCTAAAACACCTTGATCGGTTTAAAACACGATATGTACTAAACTTATGGACGTTTTGAATATGATAGTTTGCAGCAGCCTACACGGGTTCTAAGCCGTTAAATGGTATTATTTAGTTGAATTCGGAAAAGTTGAAAAAATGAAAAAAATATTACACCTGGTCAGTATTTCTTTAAGTAGCGACCACTCTGAAGACCAGCGCTGAGTGATTGTAACAAACACCCAACAGCACATAGCTGAGGCTGTTAGCAACTGCCATTTCTGATTTTATTCATTTAATTGAGGACTTTAATTGAGTTGGTTAAAAGTTTTAATCATAGTTAAAGAAATTGCAATATTGATCTTTCATTTTGAAAACAGATTTTTAAATATTCAGAAAATGGAATAACATCAGAATGAAGTGTCAAGTTATGCGGGCGTAAGATATATCGAGAGATGCAGGTGCAAACACGTTAAGTGTTTTCTTATTGTTGTAAGGGATTGGGTTATCAGTGACACTATCTAAGCGGTTCGACAAATGTTTTAACTGTCAGAGGTGTGACGTCAGCCAAATCTGAGCTCCTGATCAAAGAGCCTGATATCAGTTCACATTGTGAGGTAGTTCTTATTGAATGTTCCAATTTATACCCTGTTTAATATAGAATGATAAGTTTGACAGTTCACGGCTATGACGTATTGCATCATTTCGGTGGCTACATTAGACGCCCACTACTGATTGAATAGCCATGGTTTTTTTAAATCAGTTTCCCTCCGTGGAGCATGGGGCGAACACATTTCTGTGTCTGTGTCAATTTACCGGTTTTACAGACAATTTGATCAGACTTCTGTGCCATATCTGACCTAAAGAATATATTGGTTCCCCAAGATTCGAAACCAGGAATTCTCGCGATAAACGCAATGCTAAACACGCAACACGTTTAACCTAAGAAGGGGACTTTATGGCACGTTATAAATTCATATGGAGTAAATATTTCTTTATAAATAACTAATATTTAAAACATTAATATTTGTTCTTTAAGTATCATTCTATATTGGGCAAGGTTCCCGTTACGATACTACTTTAAGACCTACTTGAACCATCCATATACAATTACAGGTCATATTCAATATTTGAAGACTAATTATTAACTAGCCTACTGATAACAAGAGTTGGAGGAGTAAATTGTTCACGTCGTTTGAATCAATTACCTATGGATAAAGTCACGCTGGGGACTCATTTTCATAGTAGCACAGCGCGTTATATGGCCATCTAATACTGGGCTAGATTTAGATGATTTAGGAACACATTATATGAGAGATGAAATTAAATACAAGAACGCATGCTATATATATGCAATGCCTAACAGCTTCAAAAGCTGATCGTAGAGACAAACATTTCAAAATTTTTCTCCAAGAGTATGAAAAAAGGGGGAAAATTTTACAAGCAACCTCTTGTAGCGTTTTGGTCGTGTACCGTTGAATGATTAAAATACAATAGTAAAGGAAATGCCCATTTAAGACTACAAGTAAAAAAGTGTTTAATATATTATAAACAATGATAGTAGAGGGGACCTCATTAAACAATTACCTTTTTTATTTCATAACATATTAGCGACGAATGTCATATTATAATAGAGTTTTCTATGTAAGGTATTTTGTACTAAAAGTACAAAATTTAAATTTGGATGAGTTTCTTTCTTTGGTCCAAAATACTTTCTAATAATATATGACATAAAAATATTGTAAACCGAATTGTTACAACCATCGTACTTTACACCCAATATAAGATATTGTAGCAAGTAAAGCCGCGACTCTAATATAGTATCAAGTTTAAAAAATGAGAGAACGAAGTAGCTAATTAACGTACGAATGAGAATTTATGTGCCGCGTTGTCGATATAAAGTAACGCTTCCTTTATGAGACTCAAAACGTCCTAATTACCGGGACAAACAAAACGAAGAATATCGAGACGCCCAAACGCTTCTGTGACAGGGAATTAATTGCTCGTGGCGACATGTGCTCTGCGTACGCGCAGACTGCTGAAGCGATAAGCGGGGAAAGGCAACTACGCCAGTATCGTAGACATAGCCGAAAACCATCAATTTTAAGAAATTAAATTTATATTTATTCACCCTTATTAAACTATAAATATGAAAACAAAAAGCCACATTGAAAATAAATAATATAATATTTACTAGTATTTTTAGTCTTATTTTAATAGATAGATATTTAATACACTAACCTAACATTTTGCAAATCATTTCTTTTTTTAATATCCACACATTTTTTTTTAATGAAAACCTATCATTAAATGTGATTTTTTTAATGTAGATATTAGTGTTTGAATTTCTTGGAACTATTATTCTAAAAATATTGGACACATATCACCATTAGCTTGGTGTTACTAGTAATTACAACTACATGAATAAATTATTTTTGAGTTTTTGACTTCTTATGAATCTCCAAGCTATTACATGAATCTTTTAGCTTCAGACACAATAGAAATGTGTTCCCCATAACAACAGAACGCATTAGCAAATGCACAATTGAGTCAGACGTTAATGTTAAATTTAGTTTGGGTGACAACTTTACTCATCACCGTTGGTCGGCCATCAACCGCGCTATACGTCACTCAGCGGAGACGCCCGCGTGTGGCCGCTCGATACACAAAAATATGTGGCACGTCCCTTTGTTCGAGCTGGACATACCTTTCAACGAGATGCAATTAGTGCGACAGAAATACTACATGTCGATACAAAACCGACAACTCTGCGCGATCTCAAACATTTGTCCTGTGATCTATTTTAGATATCAAATTGTCTATCAAGCGCGACTGATCTAATTCTATCTAAAAATAGAATTACGTTCTTAGTTGAGTAATAATAAACTTCTTATACTATGTCTTGTATCATTATTATCTATTCATAATAAAATAATATTTCGCGTATTAAACCGTTAAATAATCAATAATATTATAAAAATCGGCGTTTTGCCTTTCTTGTACAACCAAAGCTGATTGTTGTCTCTCCATCTATTTTATTGTTTTTTTTTTGTGTTGTTGTTTGTATTTTTGAATGTGGAATAAATGATTTGATTAAAAATTTTTTAATGTACTTACGAGTTGATTCTGGTAAGCTGTGACGGCTGTAAAGACGCATTCAGGAAATATGAATGTCTTGAATTCTTCCTGCTCGAGGTCGGTTATAGGAGCATTAACGGCTCCCTCCCGTCGGAGAACTAAGTGTATTCGTGGTTGATATTTGTGCATTGAGTTTAATACCAACTGAAACAACATATATTTACATTACATATACAAAATATAGTAAAATCCCGTTGTGTAGAACTTAATCGCACAAACATTTAGCTGCCATTTGTTTTCAAACGAAGAGAAAATTAAGTATACTTAAATAATGTCTGTAGTTTACGCGAGTAGTACACATTTAAATAAAACGCTATTAGTTAAACTTGTTTAAAAAATATTTCAACTACTAGTGACCAAGGGTGCTATAAAGCATCCGAAACAAACGAGATATATGTCACGTTTTAAACCGGCAAAGTGTTGTATTTAGATTAAGTTCTTATTTTACTATTTCTACAATACACTATAAGTTTATCAATTGCATAAATTTAACATTTACCTGCCCATTCTTATCCATTTCGTTGTTGGTGAGCTTGACCTTCTCGAAGGAGACGACCTGCTTGCGGAGTTGGTCTCCCGAGAAGGGTGAGTCGGGGTGCGGGTAGAGGCGCGCGGGCGCTGGGGGGTCCGCCTTGCCGGCAACCAGCCACGAGGAGCGGTGGTACGCGTAGCGGTAGCGCTTGCCGTCCACCGGAACCACGTCAAGCAGCACCGCGTACCGAGCCTCCGCGCGGCACCCGGCGAACGATACGCGTACAGTTGGGAACATGCGTCTGAAACAAAACATTTAATATAAAATTACACAGCGTTAGATTCGATTTTAAAAGCAATATATCATGAAAGAAGTTTTGCTGTTGTCAGCAATGAGACAGCAATGTGAGAACTGGCTAATAATAATAAAAAAATCTAGAAGAAATTTAAATAAAGCATTTTAACGGTTTAAAACGGTGATATATATTAGTTAAACCTATTTATAAATTATTTTTAACTTCGGCCCGACGGGACGGGAGACGAGGAGGAATCACCCCGTAACCACGGCTGCTGCAAAGCATCCGAAACGTCGGGCCGAATTTAAAAATAATTTTCAAAAAAGGTTTAGCTAATATATATCGCGTTTTAAATCGTTAAACTGTTTTATTTAAATGTGTTCTACTCACGTAAACTGCAGACAGTATTTAATTACTAGAGGTAGTACTCGTAAATACCAGAAGCCACATAACCACTAAACATACATAACTTGTGACTGAATATAGAAAAGTAAGACATCTAAGTATATAAATAAAGGGAATAAAGTAAAGTGTTGTTAGAAAAGGATATTCTATTTGGTCTTGCGGTGATCTGAAACCAATTTTCAACGCGTATAAAGACTAAATAAGATTATGAAGTTTACGGATTTAAAAAAAACACTTTAAAATTTAAATGCTCAAATTTACGTTCAGGGCTTAAATTCCGAAATTTAACGCTCGCATTTTTATAACGTCGCGTTATTTTAACTCATTGTAATATTCAACACACCGTACTAACTGCCATTAAACGTTTATTTAAATAACTCTTCACGCATTACTTCTCATTCTTTTGTTTAATTAAAGCGTGTATATTCACATTAACGCAATTATTCGACAATTACTCGGATGAAATGCATTGAGCGCGGCACCAATGCTTCTTAATTTGAGGTTATCGCTAATTGTTGCTAATAATGCAAGTGTAAATTCATAGCTGGATTATGTATAATGAAAATAAGGAATCAACCAGAAGCCTCTAACTCCTTAAAATGTTCAACAATTTTGATACTTCATTTTAAACTTTGAAATCATGATTAGAATTTAAATTTAAGGGTAGCTTTATAGATCATTGTGTTAGGGACTTATCTGCTAATAAATTTTGTTATTATTTATATAGCTAAGAATCTACAAGCTTGGTTCAGTTTAGACTATATTGGATTTGGACATTGCGACATTTAGTTATTAAGACGGTCTTATTTTATTATTGTTATATGATATCTTTTTTTTTGCTTTGTAGCTTAATGTGTGAAGTTATATTCAAGCAATCTATATCAGTAACACACTAAATATGATATCTATTAAAAACGATATTTTTATACGTTAATGTGTAACATAATTTACACGTATTATTTTAAAACATACTTATAACGGTTTAAAACGAGGAATATATTAGTTACTTATTTAAAATTTATTTTAACTACGGCCCGAAGATTCGGATGCTTTGCAGCAGCCGTTGTCACGGAATTGTCTTATATATTTTCACGAACAATTAAATAAAGAAAAGTAGTAAATATTAACAAAATTGCAAACATTTAAAAAAAAAAGTAAAGACATGTAAGACTCATGGTAGTGAAAAACAAATGATAAAAGTAACTACCAGAAATTTGTTTATTTTCCACTCACTCTAGCAATCCCCCTTCCCCAAGCAATGGGGACATTATTTAATGCTCCCCATTGGAGAAAGATGAATGGTAAAATATTTAACGAAGTGTGTGTTTTTGTTTAGGTACTGTTCGTAGAATTGTTTGCGGTTGGTCGAAATAATAGCTCTTATTACTGCTATGTCGCTGTGGTTTCCGGTTATATTTTTATATTAACAAGGGGAGTATTTGATTCAGTGTACCTTCCTACAGACGGAATAACTTGCTAACAAGAAACAGATACTTCTATCGCAGCTAAAAACGAAAGCAATCTAAGATAATCGATCCATTGTTACTGGGAGTGTCGTAAAAAGCGGTGTCAGTAGCTTGTGAAACACTATCTCCTTATCGACATAAAGTGGTAGCTGTTCAGGCGGCGAGAACGGAAATAACAAATCTAAAGATGTAAGCTGAGACAAAACGCAGTGTTTTATAGAAAAGAAAGACGCGATTGGTTTTCAAGTTCATACTGAATATATTGTTAAACTTGGCCACACGTCTACGAATCTCTTTTCTGTTATTGTTACAGCGTGTTTAATTAACTAGCTATGTCAGTGACTTCGTCCGCGTAGAATAGTTATTTAGGCAAGTTAAGTGTTACCGACGACGTCGGACACGTACAGTTTTGCGAGTTAATCTCAAAATATATTATGTCACAGACAGATTTTGGATCAATTAAAGAGAAATCATTCTTTCATATTTTATTGGACACGACAGCTTTATAATAATTAAAAAAGTATATCGAATGTTTACATTCAATGACACGGGCAAGAATCATAGTGTGGATTCGAATTCTGCCCGTTTCATATTTTTAATGGTTTAGGTATTCTACAACTCTACATACGATAGAAAAAGATTGCAACTTGCAAGCCCTCGCCGTACACAAATATACTTATATAAAATGTATATTATCTCAGTGATATATGTTCAATGAGGTCGTATATCATCCTACCACCCGAAAGTTAGCGGAAAACTACGCGAGCAAAACGATACACACTTTAATGAGCACTGTAGACAGAAATAAGTAATTCGCGACGCTGTTTCCAACTGGAAGTACGATTTATTTCTTTGAATTTTTACTTTTCTAATTGGGTTACAATTTAAGAATTTTAATGTTATAAGGGTGACACAAAATATCAACGGTACAATAAAATATACTAATATTATGAAGCTGACGAGTTTGTTTGTTTGAACGCGGTAATCTCAGGAACTGCTCGTTTGAATTGAAAAATTCTTTGTGTTCGATATACCATGTATCGGGAAAGGATTTACATGACGCTGCTACCAAAACGACAGGAGAAACAGAGAAAAAAGTGGAAAATCAGCGAGGGAAATTCAGGGCTTCACTTACGAGTGCTGCGAAAACGGTTAAAGAAACCAAACAATATATATATTATTAATAGAATAATATTTATTTAAAGAATCTTAAAAAAATCGCAAAGGTATATTTTAATCCTTTAAGATTAACTCATATGTACGACAAGACGCGGACGACGTCGTGGTATAATTTTCAAAGCTGAGCTCACGCGGACGAAGTCATGGGCACAGCTAGTAATCTTATGAATATTAATTGATAAGTTGAATGTCAGTGTTTACAGTTCCACATATTTAGTGTTGTAGTATCTCTAAAATATAATTTGGCAATTCAAAAAGTAATTTAATTAAACGCTACTAACATGTGTGCAAAAGCTCGATGGCGAGTTAAGTGCGCGGTGTGAGTTGCAGCGGTGCGCGAGCGCATGTCGTCTTAATTAGCGGCACGGAGCGAGGTGCGAACTCGTCAATCATTGTTCCCGTGTGACGGCTTTGATGAATCTCCTCTACGCACTATTGGGAACTATTAGACCATGCATCCTTGTCATAATTCTTTTACGTATGAGACAATTGTAGCATTCGTAATTAGTTTAATATAATAAACTAATCTAACTAAAGAAAAAAATAATATATGATGAGATAACAAGTCAAAGTAAATCGTTAAATAGTCTTATTTAGTTATATTGACAATAAAAAAGCATCTAGAACTATTAATAGTAATCAAAGAAAAAAAAACAATTTAATATTAGTCAATTAGTTATTTATTATGCGAACAATGAGATGTCTTTTTTTTGCTAGTATAAATATAGTACGTATATTGAATTAAACTATTACAATAGTTTTTAATAATTAATTATAATAAAAGATATTAGTTATTTAAACTCACGTCTTGAGTGCTTAAACATAATATGATTGAACAAACTTATATCTTCTTGCTAAAATAAAATTATAATTAAACTATTTTAAACGGGTTTAATTATTAAGTAAGATAATGCATTCTTAACTATGACTCTATGATACAATCACGGAATTATTTTTAACTTGTTTTTCACGAGCTCGTCGATGTATTAGCAGTGTACGGCTAATAATCAATGGGTCGTGGATTCGATTTCCAACGGGTTCAACATTTTTGTAAACAATACATAATGTTTCTGTAACATGTGGACTTCGTCTGGAAATCTGGATATTAAATGGATGGTTGGAATATCTTAATTTTACATACCATCTAGTGAACGCTATGCTTGTCTGTCCTCCTCTATAATTAAAAAAAATATGTAATCTTGTCTCGTAAAGAGCATATTCTACTTAGTACGCTCTTAATATTATTGTAATTGACATACTATAAAACAATACAATTTCGTGCATCCGACAATACCTATAGGCGTTGGAATCACAGAGACTAATAACTATTAGATAACGGATGTAAATAGACGTACAGTTTACGATTATGAAATAGGAAGCCATTAGTGCAGTGTTATCACGTCGTGATTAGGGTTCCGTCGGCCAATCAGCGGCCGCCCGTCTAATTATACAGGAAAGCGCTTTATTAATAGCAATTATTCCCGCCGCCATATTGCCAACGCGATTTAATTAACTCGCTCCGCTGATTAGACATGTGCGACTAGATTGCGGATTCAACTTCGCTGATTAGCGCCACTTGACGCTGCACAATCTTATCGAAATGGCCTTAGCAAAGTTTTACGTCTCTAAGTCAGTTTAAATAACTGTCAGTTTGCCCCAAGCCCCATGTTTTCTTTGCCTGAAACAATATATTGTTTCCCCGGGATTCAGGACGAACTAAGTGGTAATTCCAGTAGTAACATTTTTAACGGTTTAAAACGCGACATATATTCCATTAAAGTAAAATCCCGATTCACTGAAAATCAATCAAAACACAGTCGTTAAGTTGGTATGTATCAATTGTTAGGTTTTATGTTATGAGATATTCTTAATAATTATAATTGTTACATTATATTTTTCTTAGACTTTAGTTTTTTAAAACAAGACTCAAATCCAATACTAACAATGTGTTGTACTGTGTCTCTACCTACCAAAGAAGCTGAAACATGTTTTTTCAATCGATAACTCTTTATAAACTGCATTAACATGTGAAAATTATAAAGCTTTAAGTGAACAAGGTTATAATAAAAAAACATGTATAACAATCTATGATTACAAAGAATTACATATCGCTAATAGTGAACGACTAACTGATTCCTGAATAATTCAAGTGACAACAATCCGCACTGGCGGTCAATGAATATTTCATATCCAATAATCGTCCACTTACGGTTAATTTTATGGTCACTACCGCCCCATGCCCCACCGCATACTAACGGTTATTAAACCCTATTGTATATGTACAAAGTGGCATTTATACATATCTAATAACATCGGAAATGTCACAGTGGAGTAGACTCTTTGAAAATTAGTGCACTGAAAGTCTAAACGTTAATACACGTTAGAGTTCATGTAAAAAGAATTTTATAATGGTAAAAAATATCGTTTAATTAGCAGTATAAAACACAAATAGACCAATGGCTTAGAACATTGTATCACGTAGGTTCGAATCTTGACTGACTTCTTTACTTGTTTTTTTTCGTCTGACTCAGCAAAAATGGCTCTTGAAGGTGATATGTTAATAATATGAATATATTATAAAACCGAAAATTTGTATGTTTGATTGCGCTAATCTCAGAAACTTCTGGTTCGGATTTAAAAAATCCGTTCGTGTTAGTCGGACCATTTATCTCGGAAGCGATAGTATATAGTCTATTATTTACTCAAAAGAATTTATTTTCTGTTAATATAATTTCAACAAAATGCTTCATATAGCTAGAGAACGTATGCCAGGTCAGCTAGTGTTAATTATACTGTTTTAGAATTCCCTTACTCAAACTAGGATAAAAGCTTTGGCAGCTAAATGCATAATGCTATTCAAATAAAAGTAATAACCAACGATTGTTTAGATAGCATTATAAATTTTTATAGACACTACAAAATGAGCGTGTTTGTATCGACAATAGATTTTTATGGTTGGCATTATCGATATTGAATTAGGGAAACTTTATCCCTATAATTCGATAATCAGTTAGCCATTAATTAAATAGAAATTGGGGATTAAAATAACTTATTTAATGCCAAAATCATCAAATGTTTAAGTCGATAAACTGTATAAAAGATTATAAAAATATTCAACACTTTCAGTAGTTTACGTGAGTAGTGCACATTTAAATAAAATACTTTAAACGGTTTCAAACGCGAAATGTATTAGCAATGTATTGTCCCGTAGTTAAAATATTTTGTAAATAAATTTAATAAGTACGCTTCACGTTTTCAACCGTTAAAAATGACTTATTGAAATACAAAATAATAATAAACATATGTTATTAAATAAAAAGCTTATTTACGGACATTATTACTTTACACATTAGACTTTAGCAGGACATTATTACTATGTAAACAATTTTTTTAATAGACTTTACTAAAGATTGACACTGAATGTCTATTTTAGAAAAGTATATCTATTGCACACCTTAAAAAAATGTGGATGCAGCCTGACAAGATACTTCTTATCCCCACGAAATGATCTGGAACCACACTAGAGTCAAATAACAAAAACCAGTACATCATTATCTCGACGATATGGTGCGTGGAGTTGTGATGGATGCCTAACTCATTTGATCCCGGGCATCCCGGATTGTCTGTTTTACTCGCGTTGGTTACGACTCGTCGCCTACTCGACTGACAGAGTAATCGTACACCTTTACAGATACCGACTAAAGAATATAATGCAAACTGAGAGGTGAGTATACATATATAGACAGGTATACTAATATGGCCTAATGGCTTAGGCAAATTATTCCAAAGAAATCAATATGAACTCCATAATTACATAAGAATTAATAAATAATTCAATTCGAACCAGTAGTTCCTGAAATTTAAAAAACAAACAAACTCTCTAGCTTTATATAAATCAATTATTAGTACAAATAAATGTTACACATTTGACTGACTTAATTTAAACTAATAAACTTTCTTAAATCTTTAATCGCCTCTATGACTCAATAGTTAACCGTACCTCTTTTTTTGGGTTGAACGCAATATGTTCTGGGTTCGACTACCATAAAAACATTTAATGTTTCAGTCGGTCAAGGTAGAGTAGTCCCAACAACTGCTTAGATTAAAATCTAACGGATGCAGAAATATGTCTGCTTTATGCCTCATATAGGAGAAACGGGAAGTCGCAAAGTATATAAACTTTTTTGATTTGAATAGATGTGATATATTTCTTTCTAATTCAAGATAGCGTCGCTTCCGGAATTAAAGCAAATCTTTTACTTTAACTTTTTAGATTAACTCGTTAATATTCGCTCAAAATATTATTTCAGTGTAATGAGCAGATACATGTTTTCGCAGCGATGCAGTTACGGCAGAGGGCGGACCACACTGAAACTTGAGTGACGCGATGACAAATTACCGTATGTCATAAAATAAGATTATTGGGAAACGAGCTCAAAAGTTGGCAACACACAGGTCGAAACTCGAACCCTTAGAACTATTTCTATATACGTGTTATTAATGTATATAGAAATAGTTCTAATACTTATATAGAGTGAGAGTATCTGAAAGTGATAAAATTAATAATACATATTTCAATTGAACTTTTACCAGTTTAAAACGCGTAATATATAGGATAACTTATTTTTTAATACTGTCTGTAGTATACGCGAGTAGGAAACATTTAAATAAAACACCTTAACGGTTTAAAACGCCATATATATTAGTTAAAATTATTTTTAACTTCGGGCCGACGTATCGGATGCTTTGCAACAGCCGTAACTAAAATATAAAGCATTTTTAACCGTTAAAGTGTTTTATTTAAGTTGTATTTAATTTAATTTAAGTCCGGCTCGACGTTTTCGATGCTTTGCAGCAGCCGTAATCAAGGGGGATAAATTAACATCCTAATTTAACTCGCAACTTGGTGTTTTATTCAAATTTGTTACTTGCGTTGACAACAGACAATTAAAGTACATAGTTAATCGATTTTAATAGTTAAGAGGCATGATAGTATTATGAAAAATCACGATGTTTAAAAAAACGTATATATTCAACAGGAATGTTCACACTCGTATTTGGATAGAGCTAAAAAACTAGATTGTCACTAATGTTTACTTACTGCCATGAAGTAGTATCCATCAAAATCAATTAGTTATACAATTGATGAAATATCGCAATGCAAACAAATTTTCTTATTTTCTTTTCCTATTCATTAAAAATCCTAACCCAGTGGGTTTTGATCCAAATAATAGCTCCATATTTGACGTTGGAAATTATTCAAATACCTTTTTTAGAAGATGGTATGTGTGAAAGATTGATGAGTATAGTTGCTTAATGAGCTGGTGGGGCGTGGCCAGGCGGTTG